ACAACCTTACTCAATAAGACCAATGTGCGAGTCGACACGACTTGTTTGCAACCCTATTACCAAGTAGTGCTATAAACGAAACGAACCGAGCTTGGGTTGTTCGTCTACGTTCGAACAGTGTTCGTGTTCGCTCGTTTATTTTTCGAGCAAAAAATCATGTTCAAGTTCGTTCGTGTAATTGTTCGTCAAAGTTCGAGTTCGTTTGTGATCGAATAATTTAATACATAAACTTTTTAAATATATTTGATTAACTCGAAATTTGTTCGTTCGAACTCGAAAATAAAAGAATAAAAATAAAAATATTTTTATACTTTATATTTTGTTATTAAAAATATTATGTACATATATAAAAAATAAATAAAATTATATTACATTTTAGATTTTTTATTATAATTTTTAGGTAAATATATAAAAAAATAAAATAAAATAATGTTAAATAAATGTTCGCGAACATAATCAAACGTTCACGAACGAGGTCTTGTTCGTTCAATTATTAAACGAGCCTAATTTTCTATTCAAACTCGACTCGATTAACAAACGAACAAGCTTTTATCGAACACGAACGAGCTCGAACGAGCTTTTATTCGCGAACATTCGGTTCGATTACACCTCTACTACCAAGTAGGACTGAGCATGGGACTCGGAGAATTCCGAACCGTTCCGAAAATCGAACCAAAATCACTCCGAAACGAAAAATAACCGTTGACCGTTTGACTTTCTCCGAACTGAACCTAATCGAAAAAATAATTGGTACGGTTCTGGAGATTTCAGAAATATCCGTACCGAGAATCGAACCGAATCGTACCGTACTGTACCAAACTGTACTGAACCGAAGAACCGAAATTAAGAACAGAATTATAACATTAAATGTGTTACTAATATATTTTATGTCAATTTTGATTCTATATAATATAGTAATAAATATTAACATTCACTTAAATTTCATTCTTAGTAATACTTGATCTACAATTGAACTTTTTCTATTATAAATAATTAGTTAAAATAATATGAAAGTTTAAAAAATATTTTTGTAAGAAAAATATTATATTTTATTTGAATTTTAAATTTTCAATATTAGTTGCACAAATTTTAGTTATAACTAAAATTTAGAGTTACTTATAAAGTTGATTTCAAAATAAAATCTTTAATATGAGGAAGTAGTGATGAATGTTGGTTTTATTAAAGTATATAAAAATTAAATAACTAAATTTAGAGTTACTTCTAGAATTGATTTCAAAATAAAATCTTTAATAATGAAGTATTGATGAATGTTTTTTTTTTAAAGCATATAAAAATTAAAATCTATTAATATATAAAGAGGGAATGATATTTATTTGAAAAAAGATGAAAAAAAATCAGCAAAAAAAAGAAGCCAATTCCCGCCCAAAGTGAATAAAATGAGAAAGATTTTTGGCTAAAAATTTAAATTCGAGCGCCATCCAACCAATTTTGAAAATTTTGAAAAAATAAATAAATTAAAAAATCTAAATAAAAAGATTACATGAAGATTTTTTGGAGATTCCATATTATCTAACTTTCATACATTAGGAATGGGACACTTGTCCTATTTTCATTGGTCCACTATAAATTTTATATGATAAGATAACTATAACTCAAATTATTGATATTATTTTATTTTAAAAAATAAAATAAAAAATACCAAAATTCGTATTTTTTCATACTCTATAAATAGAGACCACTCTTGATATGTTTTGGAACACAATTAAAATTATTATGTTGGGTTAGGTTGTAGATAAAACAAAACCAAACAATGTATTGTAGATAATATTTATTAAATAAATAAATAAATACAAATAAAATAAATATTATACTATCTTTATTAGGTCACCAACTAAAAAATAAAAATAAAATAAAAAAATAGCGAAATCCGCGACTCAGGTCAAATTGTGACCCTAGATCGCAACCTAGCCACAAGGAGTGAGAGAGAAATGAGGTGAGTGAAATTGGGCAAGTGTCATATTCTTATTGGACTATAAATTTTTTCTATAATAAGATAATTGTAACTCAAATTATTGATATTAATTTACATGAAAAAATAAATAAAAAATTATTTTTCATTCTCTATAAATAGAGACCATTCTTGATATTTTGTAACATAATTGCAAAAATCTTTTAATTCTTTTTTCTTAACCGTAACTTATCAATTTCAACATATCTTTTATTTTATCATACACAACTAAAACAATAACAAAAAATTATTGTAGATAATATTTAATAAATATATAAATAAATATAAAATAAATATTATGTTGGGTTGAGTTAGATTGAGTTTGGGATAAAGGACTATTCAACTATGCCTTTTCCAGATATGGGTAGTATTAATTCAAGTGCGAACCGTCTGGTTTTGGATGAACTTAATTATGACCGTAAGGCTCTAGCTATTGAGCATGATGCATTACTGACACATATGACCGATGAACAGAAGGGTGTTTATTTCAAAATAATGACATATGTTCAGTCTGACAGGGGCGGCGTGTTTTTTGTGTATGGTTATGGTGGAACTGGAAAGACATATTTGTGGAGGACTTTAGCTGCTTGGCTAAGATTGCACGGTCGAATTTTGCTTTGTGTTGCATCAAGTGGAATATCATCATTCCTATTGCCGGGCAGACGAACTGCACAATATTCTCGATTTGGCATTCCTATTTCTGTGCATGAAAATTCATCATATGAGATCAGCTAGCCCCCTTGCTGAGTTGATTATTCGCTCTTCATTGATCATATGGGATGAGGTCCCAATGATGCATAAACATTGTTTTGAAGCTGTTCAAGCATCTTTTAAACAGTAATGGGAGCCCTCGACCCGACATATCATCATAAACCGTTCGGAGGCAAGACTGTTGTGTTTGGTGGAGACTTTCTACAAATTCTTTTGGTAGTTCGAAAGGGTAGTCATCAGGAGATTGTTAATGCTGCTATTAACTCTTCTAGCATTTAGGGAGAATGTATTGTGCTTAGGCTTACAAAGAATATGCGTCTTCAGAGCATTGGCGATTCGAATGAACGTGACGAGTTGGCCGCTTTTGCTGATTGGATAGCGAGCATTGGAGATGAAACATTGAGGGGTAAAAATGATGGATGTTCTCCGATAGACATACCAAATGATCTATTACTAGAGCCATCCGATGATCCAGTTGCAAAAATTGTTGAAAGCACATTTCCGATGTTCAAGAATGCAACCGACGATCCAAGTTACTTGAAGGATAGAGCTATACTTGCGCCAACACTCGATATCGTAGAATCTATTAAAGAATACATGTCGTCGTTAAATTTAACTGAGGGACGCACGTATTTAAGTTCATACAGTACGTGTAAATCCGACTCCAATACCGACTTTGTGGCACAACTCCATACTCCTGAGTTCTTGAACACTATCAAGTGTTCTGGAACGCCGAACCATGAATTGAAATGTCGTTGCGGAATGTGGATCTCAATGGGACTCTGCAATGGTACAAGATTGATTGTGACTAAACTCTCCAATCATGTTCTCGAGTGTAAAATTCTTACGACGATCATGCATGTGATAAAGTTTTGATACCTCGAATGAAAATAAATCCTTCTGATGTTAGAGTACCATTCAAATTTCAAAGAAGGCACTTCTCCATTATGGTTTCGTACGCAATGACTATAAACAAAAGTTAAGATCAATTATTATCGCATGTTGGCTTATCCTTGAAGAAACCAGTTTTTAGTCATGGTCAGTTATATATCGTTGTCTCTCGTGTTACTAACCAAAAGGGTCCGAAAATTTTAATTTGTAGAGAAGAAGGTTTGAAAGAAAATCAAACCAATAATGTTGTGTATAGAGATGTGTTTAATAATAAATGATTTTTGTTTATATTTTGTTTTCCTCTATCTTCTTTCTATTGTAATTAAATTATTAATTTATAAAAAAATATTTAAAATAAAGTTTAAAAAAAAAGTTTGAGGAAATAACCCCGCCGTGCTGCGCACGGGTACCATACTAGTATAACTAGGTAGTCATTAAAAAATAATTTAAAAAAATAAAAAATCTCCAAAGATCCGAACCAAACCATATCGAACCGAACCGTCCCAATTGTCCCGAATACCGAACCGAACCGAAAAAATATCCGAACTGAACCGAACCAAATTTTTGGTACGGTTCCGGAGATCTAATTTTGATATCTCCGAAGTTTGTACGGTTCTAAATATTTATCAATCTCCAAACCATACCGACCCACGCTCACTCCTATTACCTACTACCAAGTACAACTCAAAATGTCAAAACCATATTCATATGTAAATCATACATGCTCCAAGACCCAAAACGAGATTATCTTAAAATATAGGGACTAGTTGTATCAAACCAAAAAATACAGGGAGGTGTGTGAAATTTATACTCCCCCCACAAGAGGGGTTTAGGGTTTTAAGAACACATCGCCTCAGTCAGTACTATATACACTCACCTTCCTTGTGACACTTTTCACGATCACATTTCTATCAAGATTGAAAATTCCCGACAATCATCATGTGGGCGCTTCGCAGAGCTTCATCTCGTCTCGGGTAATTGATCATTTTTTCAATTTGTATCTGTCAATGGCTATATGATATCTGAATCAGTATAGCTTAAAAATGCATTTTTTTTTTTTTTNNNTTTTTTTTTTTTTTGTGTGTGTTTTGTTCTGTTGATCTTTTGTTTCTGTAAGTGACTGGAATAATGAAGTGAGATTCATAAGCGGGTGTAGTTTAAGTTCGTTTATATGGGATTTCTTGAAGTGAACCTTAAAAAGAATGGTTTGATATTATGGGTTTATTCTCACCGTGTTTTTCTGCTGAGTTTCTTTGGGTTTCTGACATTTTGTGCTCCGTTGAAAGCGATAAAACTTTCATTTCTCGAGTCGTGTGATGATGATTGTCCGATAACAGTGGAGCACACTGTAAGCTTTACTGTAATTATGGGGTCTTATTTTATATGATACTTTGAAGTTATTCAGATAGTTTTAGTATCGCGCTTGTGTTGGCCCAATTTCTACCCATACGGCGGTGAATTCGTTCTCGGGCCTTGTACACACCGCCATAAGCAATTGTGATATATATCTTTCACTTTTTCGTGTCAGAAATCAAGGATTGAGCTCAGGGACTGGTCGAATCTTCTGTGCAAAACCAGATATAGCGAGAAGAAGCTTTTCTGAAAGTTACCATGCTGGAGTTATCGAACCACAAGAAAAAACCTTTGATGGGTTTTTAACTTCCTCAAAATTCTTTCGCACATCATCCGGTTTCAAAAAGTCAACCCGTGAAATCCGTTCTTTTTCGTCCGGGGCCGATGCTAAGAGCGCACAGGAGGACAATGATGACTTGGATGATGATCTAGCTAAGTCGGATCTATCTGAAGAGGATGATGGGACTACAGATGAACTGCAGACTGAGTTTGAAGCTTTAGGTGACGATGTTGCAGAAAAGAATTCGCCTGGAACAAAAGCTTCTTCAGAAATGGCTAAGGCTATTCTACGCTCACTCAATGTGCCTGTGAGCAAGGTTCTGAATGAATGGCTTGAGGAAGGAAATGAGTTGAGCCCAACTGAAGCTACATTAGCCATGCTTCAACTTCGGAGAAGAAAGATGTTCGGCAAGGCATTGGAGGTGATCACTCCAATCTTTCTTATCTTATGGAACTGTGTTGTTGTTTTTTCTTTTTCGCTTTCTCTCTTTGCTTTATTGTATTTTTTATATGGAAATCTAACAAATTAGCTTTCTGACTTTTTTTTT